GTGTGTTTCATAATTCAGTAGCGATCAAGTTTTATAGTTAGAACTTACTGTGAGCATACTAATCCACTAGTGCCACCATATATATCTTTGATAGTATTTTGATGAATAGTTGAGAAGAAGTTATAAATAATCAAAATCCAAAAGTTTGGGGCATAAATTGCAAAAAAAAAATTACATGGGGACAAAATTCAACAAAAAATAAAAATTTAGGGGACAAAGTGTAATTAAACCTCCCTCAAGCATGTTATGTTATTAAATTTATTCATGTCAAATATGTCAGTAAACATTCCGTTAATATTTTGATAAACAATTAATAAAAGGACACAAATCGTCAAAATTTAAAAGTTTGGAGCATGAGTCTTTTTAAAAAGTGGAATAAAATTTATCAAAAGTGAAACTTTAAAAACACAAAGTGCAATTAAACTTAAAATAATTTTTTTAATAAATTTATTATTTCAAGCTAAGCAATTATTGTTTGTGTTTTATTTTAAAAACAAGTTAATATTGGAATTTAGTATAAACTTATTTATTTATCGAAAACTTGCTTTAATTTAGAACTAAATTTTTAACAAAAGTAATCGTATAAATATTTATTTAAAACGATTTGAACATAGTTTGAAAGAGTCAACATGAACTTAAACCAAAGAGAGGAGTATAGAAGAGGGATGTTGGAACCCCAAGCGTGTGGTTCAGCGGTAGGGGTTGATTCACACTTAAGCAATGTCAGGGGTTCAAATCCTGCCTTGTGTATGCAGCCGCGTTAAATCTTGGGGCCAGCTATTCCACCCTTTGATGTGCCTCCAACATAGCAAGAAGATTAGTCACTGCTGTCGGCGATGGATATTCCAGGGACGAAAAAAAAAAAAAAGAAAAGGGATGTTGGACCACAATACATGGTAGGGTGGGGCAAATAATAAAAGGATAAATGTGAGCGGTTTCCCTTGCAACCCAAACCATGACATTCTCAGCTTTCAATTCTTTTTGGTTGAAAATCGAAATGAGTTTGATTTGGCAATGGATGAGTCACGGAAAGGAACCAAAAGTTGTTATACAGATCATCTATACTCCGACAGGATGTACTACTTTAATTTTAAAACCATCCAATCGCTGGATGAGAGTTATATTTCTTAATTATAAATAGGTTTAAATATATTTTTAATCTCTTTAATTTATTTTTGGTCTCTCAAATTTAAAATTGATGTTTTTAATTTTTTTAATTAAAAATATTATTTTAATTTTTATATTCAAATTTTATTAAAAAATTTATCAAATCTTGTTACATAAAATTTATCTAATAATATCTGTATTAGTGAAAATATCACATTAAATCTAATTGATATTACATAATTAATTGATTACAAATAATTCTGTTTATTCTTTTGAATTATTGTATTTATTGGATATTGTTCTTACTCCTCTCTTTTCTTTGTTTTTATAAATTAAATATATTACAAAATAGATGGATCTACTTTGGATTCCAGATCATTTTGCAGTTGATATAGCTGTGGTATTCCTTGGAAGGAATTGGAATGTGGAGGCTATTTGATGAATCTATTACAATTTTTGTAAATTTATTTTCACAATCAATGTAAATATTGTAATAAAAGTGAAAGAAAAATATATTGTGTAAAATAATACATTATGGTAAATATTTTAGAACGATATATCATGTATTAAATTCACAAAATATGATTGTTCTTTACCTTTATCTTTATTATGAAAAAAAAAATATTGTTAACGATATAATTGTGAAAATATATATAATTATTATTATATAAATGGGGCGTTAGAATCGGACGTTACAACCTCCACTCTGTCGCTTTCATCGGCTTTGCCTGGAACCTTAGCGGTTGGATCGGCCACGACTCCGACCCCTACAATGTCATGCCCGACCTTCAGCACCTTCCCTTCTTTATCGTTTTCTCTTCCTTCTTCACTTCCCTCACTTCCTATTGCTACAACCGAAAACTCAACTTCGATTCCCTTGCTAGGGTTCTTGTCAACTACCAACATTTCACCTTTTACCCTGTCATGTGCTTCGCTAGGCTCAACCTCTTCGTCCAATCCTTCTTTCTCTTGCTTTCCAACCGTAGGTCGACCATAGAGGAGTAGAGCTTCTTGGCCTACTCTTGTTCTGGGTTTGGTACCCTCTCTTAATCTCCTTCTTGCCAAATTGGTGGGAGAGGGCTTTCTTCGTTCTTGTTAGCTTCTCTGTTACCGGAATTTAGCACATCCAATTTTGCTTGAACCATTTCTCCTCCAAGGTCTACCTTGGCCCCCCTAATGGCTCCGATTGGTTTCGGATACGACTAATGCACTCTCGATGTTAGCTACTCTTCTTGGATGGATTGGTTCCACGGTGGCTTGCAACTTCAGGTGGAGCATCACCTCTTTCCGTACCTCTTAATCTCATGTGGTTCATATGCCGTGAGAATCACGATCGTGATTTGAAATCACGAGCGTGATTCTCACGGACCTTTAACACCGTTTGTGAAATTTGGACAAAAATTCTACATTGAAATATTTTAAAATAAATTGGGAAGAAATTGAAAAAAAAAATTAAAGTAAAACTAAATTATATATTTTTTAATATTATAAGAGAATAAATTAGAGTTTTAACCAAAAATATATCATAAATGTTACGTGGATTAAGCAATAAAACTGGCCTACACTATTGTTTTGTTCGAACGAACTGATTGTAAGTTGTTTCAACTTTCAATTTCTTGATTCTGCTAACAATTCGGTGTGGTAGAAGTGCATGGACCACTTGTAAATTTCGACACTTAAGTGGTAATATTCTTATTAGATCCTCCAGATATATTAACATACATTACTCTCGATATTGATGTTGGCTTTGGTCAAAATTCCTTTATACTTAATTACTGATTGCCTTAATAAAAATATCATATAGGTTAGGCTTAAACCTAATTCATAATAATATAATTGTCAATTTTTATAACAAATATTTTAAGTATTACATTAAAATAATTTTTAATTAATTAATAATACAATATACGTTTTTGACAGAAATAAAATTAATATACTAATAATTTATAAAATTAAACTCTTACTTTAATTATGCTTTAAGTTAAACTTTGAACCGACCTTACCTCACATCATGTTAAAATTGTGCTTTTATAAAGTATTGATGAATACGGAGTTATAAACTTAGATTAATAATTTTACATAGAATTTTTTTTTACATTAATGCAATTTATTTTGAAATATATAATATTAAGCATCTTTTAAATTTTATCTTTACATTTGACAATTTTATAATTTAACTATTTATAGTGTTTAAATTTGCATATTTTGTTCAAATATCGGATCAACTTAACTTTTTTCTTCTAATTATTAATCAAGTTATAATTAGATTGACTCAAAGTATATAAAAGTATATTACGATCAAAATATCATGTCAGATCAAATCTATGTTATGAAATTAAAACGATAATAAATACATAGATTAAGAAAAAAAATCAGCCTCCTACATATCATCATCATCATTATTTTTTTTTCACATCTTGAAATTAATTTTACTGTCATTTATTTTCAAGTAAATATAAATTTATATATCTTAAAATCAATTTTATTAATAGTCAAATATGCTACAAAGTGATTCTTATCATCTTAAACAGGAACGGATCTACGTAGAAGATAGTGGGGGCACTTTATGCATATATTTTTTTAATCCAAAAATTAATATATTTTAAAAAATAAAATTTATATTCTAATAATATATATATATATATATTTAAATTATCATGTGTATAAAATATAAATTTGATGGAGGTGCTCATTTATTTAATTTTTTTAAATTTTTTTAAAAGAGATTAGTTCTCATATGTAATAAAGAATACCCATTAATAATGAATTAGTTTTTTAAACAAAGTTTAATTATAATATATATATTAATGTTCACTTATATAAAGTAATATGTTAAAAAAATTAATTTTTGATAAAATAAAATTTGCACTATGCATGTTTACCTTTTATACTTTCTATTTATTGTATACATTGATTAAAAATATCAAAATAGTAAAAATTGTAAGATTTTAAAAAAATCAAAATAGGAAAAGTTGGAAGATTTATAATCTATTTTGAATTTGTATTATAAAATATATTTTAAAATAAATTATCATATAAAAATTTATATTAGATATTAAAAACATTTTATATCATAAATAAATTAAACTTTTTTTATATAAAATTTAACATATTTATTTTTATGGTTTTATTAGTGTTAAATTATTATAAAGTAGGTCTTTAAGATTGTAGTTCTAACCAAATACTTGAAAAATATCTATGACAGATAAATAAGTTATATTTAAGACATGTAATTTTAAAGAAAGTTAGGTTCAAATCTATTAAATTATAATATAATTTAGTCATTACCCGATTTATTTCCATCCTTAATCATAATTGTAGATATAAAAAATTGTAAAAATAATTATGAAATATATTTATACTTTTAAAAATTATATATAAAATTTTTAATACTATAAATATATGAGTAAGTATTAGTCCCAGTAGCTAAAATTTCTGGACTGATCTTAAATACAATGAAATGGAATTTTTTCGGAATGTAACTAATGTGCAACCGAACATATGTTAATATGGATCTAAACAAATCATAAATAACTAACATACAAGTAAGACGCTTTCCCACAATCCAAATGTTAAAATATGGTAAAAAGAAATTTACAATAAAATAGTGGTAGCAGGCAAGTGATGACGATGGAGAAGTAAGAAGTGGTAAACATTTTTGAAATTGAAACTGAAGCACTGGCATTTGGCAACCCTTTGAGTTTCCCAATCTACCCACTTTTGGATGGATTCTAGGCCACCTGATTAAGCACATTCAACATACACTTTATGGACTTTTACTCTTCTCTTTACCACACAATTTTAAAAATATATAAAACTATTTTTTTAATCATAACAATGATACAAAATATCTATTATAAAAAATAATAAATAATTTTTATTAAAAACCGTAAGGATATATAAAATAAATATATTTTTTTAGCAGAAGTTATTTTATATATAAAATCAAAATTTAATCTGGAAGTCCTTATAAGTTGGAAGTGGTAAATATAGAATGCATTGTGTGGTGACTTGGTCGTCTTTATTAGTGGAGTGAGGAGTGTGTGAGATGGAGAAGGTGCCAAAAGTACAGAAAGGAGCAGGCCAACATGCTTTTTCCATGTGTCTGTCCCTTCTACGGTTGAGTTGAGTGTATCATACAAAACTAACTGCACACTTCAAATTTCAAGATTCTCGTCAGATATTGAGCTGCGTGCACTGGAATACCGCAACGAAGAGATCAAATTTTTCGCGCCATCCTATTCCCATTGTGTCAATTGTCAAACAAAACAGATTCGGATCAGAACAGTCACCCACAAAACACTGTAGTCAACAGGGGACTTATTTCTATCACTAATGTTAATCCTAATAATCCATTGGTGTAATGTAAGTGGTAAATAAGTATGTCTTTTTTTAAATTTTAAGTAGACAGTAATACAATTCATTTCTCAATTTCCGAGTATGAAAATTATAAGTAAAATTGTGTATTAGCTAAAAAACTAATTGATCTGCAACACACACATATATATATATATATAAACAAAACAAAATATTAATATTATTTATTTTCTTTTCTTGATTAACTTTTTTATACTACTTTTTATTAAAATTTAGATTAAATTACACTTTTGATCTCTCTATAATGTTTAATCCATAATTTTAGTCTTTAATTTTTAATTCTTCAATTTTATAAAAATCTATAATTTTAGTCTCTATATTCATCTTTACCGTTAAAATTGTAATGTTCATCATAATTTAATAATAAATAAATGACATAAAATTAATATTTAATGATATTTAGACTAAATTACACTTTTAATTTTTATTTTTATCTTAACTTTTTTTTATCTCATTTTATCACTTTTACGAGATAAAAATGTGAACTAAATATTAATTACCACATCATTTATTTAATATTAAGTCAGAACTAATATTATAATTTTAACAAATGAATATACAACAAGAAGATCAAATTTTTAATTTTATAAAATTAAAGAACTAAAATTATAAAAATAAAATTTAGGGAATTAAAATTGTAAATTGAAAATAGAACCAAAAATAAAATTTAAACAATACATTAATGAATTCAAACTAACGTATATTCATAAAAATATATTATATGTTAATTTAAATCTATATGATAAAGTATTATATAATTTTTAAATTTTGCAAAAAATTTATACATTTAATTTATTTATTAAAAAATTTTAATTTAACTATTAAATTATTAAAATTTAATATAAATAATAAGTAATTATATAGAGTAATTCTACCAAAACTTTTTCAAAATAATTTAAGAATTCATGCATTACCCAATTGTATGAATTATGACATGGATTGGGCTTGACTTTACCATGCTTGAGGATGACTTCTTAAATCAAAGGCTTTTGAAATAGAATTTCTTTTTAACACCTGACTTGTCCACTTTAAAAGCTTGACTTGATTTGTGAACCTATTTAAATGTATGTTTTGAAGTACGTTAAAAAACAGAGAATCACATTAATTCATCTCAAACATATAAAAGTTATAATTATTAATTTTTAGTTAAACATGAAAAAATCATATAAACAACGTGTAACCAAACACACTATAAATATTTACTTCATAATAAAATCTATTAAATTATATTACAAATATATTTTTAGATAGATTAATGGACTAGCATTTATATGCGAGTCTTACCCACTTAACAATGGATTCGCATTTAACAGAACACAACGGAAATTCAAATATGCCTATAATCCATAAATCCTCTACAAGCAGTTGAACCCATTGCACTAAATTCACATGGACCATGGATGGTGCAGACTGATGTAATATCTTTTTTGGTTACAGACTAGCATGTTTTAGAATATATTTAGTTCAAGTTAGTTTAAATAAATGACGGTTGAGCTTTAATATTTTTTAAAGCATAATTTTGTTATTTTAAAATAATATTTTTGAAACATGCGATTAAATTAGGAGCATCATTTTTAGCCGGTAGATGATCTAAAGTCCCCACAAAAATTCTCTTTGAAGGGTGACAGATGATGAGAGCAAAGTGACATTTTTACGTTACTAAAAACATGATTTGCTGTTGCATTATTTGGTTCAATTTGATATAAACAAAAAATTCACAAGTTTATAAAATAATACGGTTGATGTTATGTCCCTTTTATTTTTTTAAATCTTAATCTTTATAATACTTTATAAAAAAACTATTGAGTAACCAATGGAGAGGATTGATTTAAATTAATATATATGTATGACTCTTCCTAGACAAAATCTTAGGATTAAGCTCTATAGGATGGCAAAAAATTTCAACTAGAAGAATAGTTCTAATATATTAACATGGGCGAAAAAAATGATAAAGATGAAAAATAATTTAGAAGCTATAGACGAAAAACATGCCCCAAAATTAATTAATCCAATTACACACTTCGTAGTGGCTGGTATTGTTTTAGGCAATTCCAGCACGAGCTAACAAGTCCAAAAACATAGAAAGGAAAGAAAATACGTACAATTTTTTTCTAATCATACCAAGATAGTAGTGTTTCCTTTGTCGTTCTTTTTGGTTTCTTTCTTTCGCTTCCTCTCAGATTGAGGATCTTTGGCTTTCAAATCATTGGAGAAAGTCCTCAACAAGCCAGATAAATGTCCATTCCTATGCGCTGAAACCAAAAAACGTAACGTTAAACAGATAAAAAGTCGTTTCGTTCTCTGAAAAAGCAAGCGAAGACGCGAAACGAAACCGACCGCAGAGTATCACATCTTCCATGTTTACAGATTTACGATTCGCATGCTGCGCAAATAGATGAAGATCCCTAGCCACTCGCTCTGCTCACAAACACACTTTCCTTCAGTTTCATTGTTTCAACAACTCAACACTTCAATTATTGAACTACAAAAAGACGATTTAATTTCACAACAAATTGATAATGATAGGTGCATTATGTCAAACACGTTGCGATCATACTGATTTAACATACGGCGTTTCAATTGGTGTCGTTTAAGCTAATTCTGAAGAGGATTGTGCAGCGAAACGACGGTGATGTTACCTGTATATTTGAAGGCCAAATCCGCGACGCAAGTGACTACGACTTTTGACGCTTCCTTGCCGCTTCGTTTTGCTGCGGAGATTGGTGAGCGTAACGAGAATTAGGGAATGAAATCGCTTGTATGAATGGAAAGGGAAAAAAAATTGTGAGAAGAATAATGGAACCTTGGGATTCGGTGATGGAGATTGCGGAGAGTCTGAATTTGTCTCTCAAGAGCTTCATTTCGGCGTCGTTTTCCACTTCGCTGCTCCCGTCGGCGTTTTCCATAATCGAATTTGTTTCGAGTGGAGGGAAACCGAATAGGAGGGAATATTAATGGGCTCTACTGAGACGCAAATCCCCAACACGCTATCGCCATAGGCCCAATTCTGCATGCATTTTTTAACTTGATTTTTGGCGGATTGGATTTTTTAGGCCCAGATCCTATCAAACCCACCCGATGATTAATCCTACATTTGTATATAATAATTAGACTTGTACTCGTGTGCTGTACAAAAAATAAATTATTATAGTCAATAAATTTTATTTAATAATTAATATATAAAATTGTGAAAATTAGTTGAACTTAATGTAATATGAAAAAGAATATTTGAATATACAAATAAAATGATAATGATAAACAATTCATTTAATGACATGTAATCACTGTATCCATCATTTCCATGTGAGAATAAAAGTAGATAGTGCAATGGTAAATAAGCAGAACTCACTATGAAAATTCGTTGCAGGTATCCTTGTTGAGTCTCTAAAACGATGTTTCTCTCACCATTACCTGCATCAAAATCACCCACAACTAAAGCCACAACCTCAGATGCAGTCGGAAGATTATACCTTCTACCATCTTTTCCCTTTTCCCTATTGTTCTGAATTTCAGGTTGTGTGCATTGCTTTCCTTTAGACGATCTTGAACCATCCTATATGTTTGAACATAAGGATTATCAGAGTCAAACATCTATTTAATGTCAGATACTATTTCTATATGTAATGGATTTGAATTTTTATCCATCCTACAATATAATAGAATAAAAAACCATTTAAGATAAGGACTCAACACATAAATTGAGTATGGAAATTTCAGAAAAATAAATAAATAATATATCCAAATGTATTAATAATTACCTAATAACAGAAATCCTGTTAACAACTTCATTTTCCGTGTCATATATGTATTATTGAGAAAATTTGGGTTGCTCTCTTGGATTAGGAAGCAAACTACCAATTCTATGGTAATTCTCACCACTCATGACAAAAATTGGAGGACCTGGTCCATTATTTAATGATCCATCTATCTTACCCCCCATAGAGGTGAATGAAAACATGATGTTAAATGATCTAATATTCTCCAAGAATAGCTTACTCTTTATTATTGAAGTAAAGATCCATCAAAGATTGAGGTGCAGGCAACAAATCAAGAAACTTTATTTTACCTTGCATGCAATATAAAGAGAATCTAGGGATTGCTGGATTGTAACCTTTTTGCACTCTCTCAGAATATAACATCATTGCTCAACATTTTTGGCATTCACAAGTAGGATCACCAATATCGCAATAAAATGTTTATTATTATTATAAGAAAATAATAAGCCTTCATGTAATAGATTAATGGTTAAAATATGAAATTTAAAATAAAATACAATATTTAATACATACAATCTATATTGGATGCATCTTCATGTATACCATCAATGAGTACATTTTGCTCTGAAGTTCTGATTAATCTACCATTATTCCATATTAATTTTTGTGGTCATTTCCCTTGTGCATGGTTATTATGATTTGATTCACATTCTTCGAACATGTCATCAAATTCATCGTTTTGATTTGATGTGTGGTTTGCTCTTTGGCTAGATAACATCTTAATTATAAAATAACAAAACAAAAGGATACTCAAATAAGAAATGGTAAATATAAACATTATAAAATTAAATAATAGTTATATTAAAAGAAATAAGACTCCATAAATTACCATTTGTGACATTCGACAATGGAGATTGAGTAAATTGTTCTGTCATACATACACCTATTCTAAAAACTCTATTTAAGATAGTGTTAGATTGATGTACATTATGTGTGCTATCATTAACTAAAAAAAAAAAACTAACCTTGTAAATAAGTTTCTCCATAAATATTTTTGAGAAATAAATAATAGATCAAAAAAATTTGTTTAGTACTAACCTGTTAATCTAGCAGTTGTTACATCAAAAGATTGAGACATATTACATAGACGTTGCATAGGTGCAACTTTACCAAATAATAGTTTATTTCTAGCAAAAGAGGGGGGGAAACATTTTGACCGTTGGCACCTAGTAATAATGATAACAAAATATAAATAATCATTAATTTTCAAACATATAAATAGAATGAGTCTTCTTTTACAAAATTTAATTTTACCATTAGTAATATCCGACAATGGAATACTACATAATTCTACTTTATTAGATGCACTTTCTCCAATAAAATCATTTAGATAATGTTCACAGGAATGATCACTTGGAATATTATTTCCTGCAATTGTAAAATACATACTCATATATTAATTACATTTTAAAGTGCTTTATATAATTAAATATTTTGATAGAAAAATATTTCTTATTATTAATATGTAACATTTGAGACATATTATCACTCAGCATTGGTGACACCTGAATGACACACTCTGGCACATTTACTACGATTACAATATTGAACATCTTCACTGGATGATTTTGAGTTATTTCGCTTTTTTCTAACATTATCATCCATAACATTGTTTGGTTCTGAATACTCAAAATCTGAAGAAACTAAAGAAAATGTTAAATATCTATTATAAACAATTTATAATATTTAGCATTGATAGAAAATTTAAGAAGTTCAACATGTCAATAAAAAATTATTTATTTATTTTCTTAAATGACTCTCGCTTGAGAGCCAAATCTAAAATGACAACATTACTAGGAGGCTATGTAGTGTACTAACAGAAGTCAAATGCCCACCTATTAAGTTCCTTTTTTTTCCTTTTTAAATTAATAATTAAAACCTTCCAAGCAACCATAAAGAGTTATACAACAACCATTTGTCTTTCTAATATGAATCAAAACCATAAACATTTAGGAAACTATAGTTTGGCAAGCAAATAAAATGTTAGATAATTTTAAAATCACCTGCACGGTATATGTTTGGCAGTAAATAAATGAGACAATGGAATCTTTATCATTGAAAGAAAAAAAAAAGGTCATATTGAGAAAAGAATAGTTACAGAAGAAGAAATATATATACAGTAGAATTTTTCAAAAAAAATAAATTTCAGTATATGTATGAGGCATAACATGTTCAGCTTGGATGGTGATTAAATTTTAGAAACCAATTATCACTCCCGGTATATACGATGCAGTAGATAAATTCATCAATTGAATCATTTGCATGTGTTCAAAGAGTGAAAAAAAAATAACATTGAGAGAACAATATTCAGAAAAGAAGAAATAAAAAATAAAAAGAGAACAATAATATTACAATAATGTATTTTAATAAAATACTTTAAATAAATAACATAACACATATCTCTTTTAAAGTATAAAGTATCTATTCTCTGTCATAAAAATAACTATGTACTACATGTGACATGATAAAAAATGAACAGCTTCTAATATAACAATCTAAATATAATGAGACTTTATCTAAAAATCATCCACCAAATGCCCAGTAAAAGTCACCTTCCAAAAGTTTTTGTTTTGTTACTTTAAAGCAACCAACAATCAAATGCTTTAATTATCCGATAGGGTAAGGATTATTTTGGCTTATTTCCTTTAACCAACCATCACCAATCAAAAAATATACCAACCTTTAAATTTTTTTTCCTTTTATTTATGCAACTTTTAATTTTGTAGTAATTGTTTGATATTCATTTTTTTTTCTTTTTTACTTATGTAACATCTTTTTTAGTTTAATTTTTGAATCAGTAATCAATGTATAAAATCTAATTATTTTGAAAATCATTATAGAAAAAAAAAACACAAAATTTATAATAGTTGTTTAAAAAGAAATTGTGTAAACACATAAATATAATTAATATTATAATATATCTTTATACAATATTTTTGAATAATTATAAAATAGTTTTATATTTAGAAATTTTATAATAAATTTTAAAAGAAAAAATTAATAAAATATGAAACAATGTTGTGTTTTTATCTTTATGTTTCAATTAGAAAACTGAAAAAAGTGAAACATGAGAAAACTGTTACATGAATCCTTTCATCACATATAATTGAAAACCAAATAACAGAGATTATTTGGCCTTCGAAATGAAACTAAAAACATAAAACAGAAATTTAAAATAAATGTAACATTTAATAATAACACAATAAAAAAAAAAAAACTACTCCCTAAATCAATACAACATGATAACTTATGAAATATCACCTATATTCTCATTTATTTTAAAGGAAATGTATAAATCAATACAACTATTATCTCAAATATAAGAAAATATGATAAAGTTATGAAGCTACGAAAAGTTTAAGACTAAAAATGTAGAATAGGTAGAAAGTCAACAATAGAACATGAACAAAATGATTAAAAACATTATTTCACATCTTAATTGAATCGAATAAAAAAAATTGAAGTGAAGGACATGTAATGAGTTGGCAGCAAAATAGAAAGGTTAAATTGGAAAAATTCAACAACACTACATAGAAATTCATCAATTAAAAATGCAAGAATACAACGTGACTACTGTAGTAATTAGCCTTAAACAAAATGATTTGTACATACAAAAGTGACGGTAAGTTTTATTTAAAAAAGATATTGAGTTGTAGGATTTGGTTAAAAAGAAAAAATTGAAAGATTTGAATTAGACTAATTTCTTTTGTTTTAAAATAAGGTTATTATTTGAATTATAATAGGTAAAAATAATTAAAATAATAAAGGAAAAAAATTCATTAGCTTCTAAAAAAATAACATACATGCAGAAAAATTTATCATTGTAATTGATTATGAAAACAATATCTTTGCTAATCATATTTTTTTGGTGAAGATGAAAATTTCAAATAGAAGCAAAAACAAAAACTACACTATCCAACAATGAAATTTATAATAATTTATGAAGAAAAAAACCTTTTCACCCACCAAAATCATCTCCAAGGAATTTGTTTGCAATGGATTCTTAAACTCTGACAGCCTCCACAATCTTATTATACGAACTCTTATCTTCCAGTCAATTCTCCATGCTGCAATATCCTTTACTAATCTAAACCTGTGAGTCATGCCCTTTAAAAAAAAAGATGAAAGTAAAAAGGATAAAAATTTTAATAATATGTTCATTATACATCAACATTGAAACAACC